AAGTTGTTAACAATCTCAATCTCTTCACCATCCATCCCGATGCTACCAATTGGTCCAGTGGTGAGAATCTTTGTCTTCTTGACATTGAGTCTCAATCCATATTGGAGGCTGCAATCCTTGACCTTCTGCAGATCTCAGAGGGTTGGATTATAAGGTTGACAGGCAGTGAGAGGGGGAAAATGTATTAATGCCGTAAAGTTGTGTGTTCCACCGAGTAAGAACTGAGGCATAGCTGACCCTCTGGTGGGTTTTCCAAAGTAGTTAATCACACAGGAGGAGGGTGCCCGACCTTCTTATTGTGGAACAGCTGGTAGATTCGAACTGCGAGTCTTTGGGATTGCAGTGCAGCTTCTTACCTCTCAGCCATCAGAGATCCCTAATGCTGTAATGATATCACATAATTCTATTGCTTGTGAAAAATATTTGTATTTCTACCCTGGCTGACTATAAAAAAAGACAAGCATAAGAAGTCATTAAGAAAAAATGGAGGCACCACAACAAAATAAAGGTAAACAACCCAATTGAAAAATGGGCACAGGATGCGAACAGACACTTCACCAAAGAAGATGTTCAGATGTCCAACAAACCCATGAAGAAATTTTCAAAATCCCTAGCTCTAAGAGAGATGCAAATCAAAACAACTATGAGATATCATCTCACCCTAGTAAGAATAGCAAAATTCAACAGAGCAGTAAACAGCATATGCTGGAGAGGTTGTAGAGAAACTGGAACCCTTATTTACTGTTGGTGGGAGTGTAAAATGGTGCAAACACTATGGAAAGCAGTACGGCGCTTTCTCAGAAAGTTGCAAATAGAGATAGCATTTGACCCAGGAATTCCACTACTGGAAATATACCCTAAAGAGACCAAAGTCGCCATCCAAGCAGATATATGCACATCCATGTTCATCGTGGCTTTGTTCACAATAACCAAGAGCTGGAAACAACCCAAGTGTCCTTTAACAAATGAGTGGATAGAGAAGCTCTAGTATATTCACACAATGGAATACCATGCTACATTGAAAAACAAGGAACTCATGAAATATTATGCAAAATGGGTGATCCTGGAGGACATTATGCTGAGTGAAATATCTCAGTCACAAAGGGACAAATACTGCATAATACCACTGTTATAAAACGGACTGACATTGGGTTTGGGGGAATCTGAGAAAGAGGGGATAAATAATGTATACTGAATTGAAATAGATGAGGGAGAGAACTGTTTGAAAGGATTATATGATTAGGTATTATTTTCATGACAAGAGTCCACAATGAGAGCCTCATGGGGGAGTGGCCTGGGGGGGAATTACATAATAATTAAAGTTTTTTGTTTTTTTTTTCTTTTCAAAGAAAAGCCAACTGGGGAAAGGGGTGGGCAGGGAGGAAAAAGTACAACAATGAATGAATGGAAATCCAAAGTCTCTATAAACTTTCATTAACATTTTAACTAAAAAAATAATGGAGAATGTGAGGGTATCTGGCTGTGACATCTGTCACCCCACTTATTGCCAGAGCTGATTCTGGCAATCTGATCTGGCTCAATTAGACTCAGGGGGCTGTTCCCTTCCTCCCCTCACTGCTCCATGTGCATTCCTCCCAAAGCTGCATGTTCAGCTGAAAAGGACAATCATTCCTAATTGAAGGAGGGCCAAGGATATACAAGGAGGTCAAGGGTATACAAGTAGCTGAACTCCCCTGCTAGAGGCTCCAAACAAGCTCTCGAGAAATAATGGGAAACAGCATGATAGTAGCACTTCAGCTTTCAGCATTCACACTCGTACCTCATTTGGTCTTTATAACAACACCATAAGAATAACTCTCATAACACATTTATATAAATAGGAAGAGTAAAGCCCAGGGAAGTTAAATGACTTGCCCGGTATCACGCAGGCAATTAGGAGATCCAAAATTATACACTTGGCATTCACCAGGCTCCCTGCAAGCGGACAAGGCACAATATGTGGTTCATAAAGCAGAGCATGTGGTATATTATTCATAAGACCAAGAGCTGCAACAATGGTTTCAAACATAGTAAGAACTGTGAGGATGATGCAGCATGAGGCAGCACTTTGAGTTTTGTTATGCACAAACTTGCCATGAATCCAACAACAACTAATAACAATTACGCTATCACTCATTTACATGTAACCAAGAAAAGCCAAGTTGGAGAATAAGAGTCTATGGAGTCTCTTTCCTTCTTCCCTTCCATTCATCCTTCTGTCCTCCCTTGTTCCCTTCTTCCTTCCTTTCTAGAACTTCCTTCATTCCTAGAACTCACGGGACAATCCAGTCTTGTCCAGGAAACTCCTTCTTAGACCAAATATACAGGTAGATGAGTGGAAATCATCTTATTTTCTATTGACTTAAACCCGAATGTCTTAAACACGAACGAATCTCTAGAATATTACCTAGCTGAGTGGGTTCAATTGAGTCATGAAAAGCAAGTGATAAGTGCAGAGAAACACGAGAGGGTAAAAAAAAAAGTAAATCTGAGGACGGAGAGGAATGAACTCCAGAGCTAAAAAACCTCTGCGAATTAAGTTTAGAGTGCAATAACTCACATTAGTAATATTACAGTTCAGCTCACTTGAGTTCCAAAACATGTCTACTGAGTTCCTCTTGTGGGCCAGGCCTGTGGCTTGGCTCTGGAACCCCAAACATCCATTCACTCCTCTTGCTACTAGAGGAACACCGAGCAGAATTACAAGAACAACATAAAAGGCAGAAGTCACCTCATTCCTGTTTAAAAATGCTATTGTTCTAACATATTTGATATTCCCTATCACTGTTGTGGGTGTTTGTCACAGAGTCAGAAAACCAGACTTACCAGAGCTGACCTGTTAGCAGGTTTTAAGAGACAGTAAATTGCATAGAAGGAGACTGCCCATCCCTCTACTGGTGGATTCAAACTACATGCCTTTGGGATTGCAGTGCAGTTTCCTACGAACTTCCTGATGTACCCTACAGTAATAAATATTTTTTAAATGATCCATTTTGTAAATGAAGATCTTAATTATATTAGGAAGAGGGAAGTCTGACGTTCCTGTGAAATGCTGCGGTTGAGTAAGTAACAGCATTCCTTAGTCACCAACAATCCAAACTGCCACCTTGTGGCAGAACAGGGATTACATGACTCTAGAGTCGAATAGCAGAGAGCGTGGGTACGTTCACCTTACAAACACAAGGAATTTGAAGTACAGTTATGTCACGAGCTTTAAAAGAGAGCAACATTTCTCATTTTCTTGTTATCCCGAGGAATGCAGTGTCACTGCATTTCAAAAGCTATCTGGAGTCTCGTTCTTGTGCATTATTGTTCTTGTTTATGTTTTTTAAACTGTTTGCAAAACTCTCTCACTTTGAACACCTGAGTGATTTTCTTTTACCAGTATATAGTGAAAATAAGGTGTCCATTAAAGTTTTGTTTCTGGATTTTTGTACCTCCTAATACACTCATTCTTCACATTATATAACCAGAGTATGATTTCTAAAACATAAGTCTGGTTTTATCTGGTTTTGATTCTCATATTTAAAAAAAAAATAATTCTGGAATCTTTCATGTGATTAAAAGCTCTTGTATGATTTAGAGGAGACCTGAGAATGTAGTGTGTAAAGTGCTGGCTGCTAACCAAAAGGTTGGTATTTCCAACCTATTAGCCACTTGGCCAGGGAAAGACAGTCAGTCTCCACCTATAGATTTGTTGTTGTTGTTAAGTGTTTGTGGAGGTCTGAGCATGAATAACTTTCATCTTTCTATAAGTTCACAGTTTCTGGAGGCAAGCTATTTTGGAAGTGGATGCCACTCCTGCTTCTAAGAGCCTATTTTAATTTGGGAGCTCCACCAAACACTGCCCACCCTACGTAACCATTATCACATTTGACACGTCAGTGTCACAATATTTACACTCACTCACAGGAACCAGTAGTTACCTTCATACAGCAAATTGACAGACCAGTGCTATGCTACTTAGAAGAATGTTTGACTGAAAACAATTAAAAACCAGATCAGAGGGTCGCAGACCCGAGGGCCCTAATGCATTTCATAACTATGAAGTCAAATCCAATCAGCTCACACCCATCTTTGCAGAATCTAGTCAATCTGCTCATCTTCCCAGAATGGAAAGTAGCCCCTATAGATTTACATGCTCTGAAATCCAGTGCAAAGAATCCACTTGACAACAGTGGTATAGTCTAGATGATAGTTTAGAAGGTATAATCTAGAGCCTGCTACTGCCTTATTTTCTGAAACTTTCCTTCTTTACTAGATTAATTTCTATGTA